TTTAAACACGCTTTTTTCTAAAGAAGGGTCTAAATTTTATCTTTAAATTATTTTTTGTATGTACCAAAGGACAGTAAAAAAAAGTGGTGCTAGTCTTATTTCCGGCAATCTTTCTGTATATTCGAAAATGGCTAACTTTTAACAGTTAAAAATTACAAAATTGATGATGGAGATTTGTTCTAAAAGAACATAAAGGAATGTACATTTTTAAAAAAGGTATTGTACATTTTTAATTGTGTTTTTTTTTGAGAAATTAATGCTTGAAATTTCTGCACGTTATGTAAAAGTATTTTCATCAAAACCGCTCACAAGGTTTTCTTCAACATTTTTCCACGGATAGAACAAATAACGCTTAAAATAATGATGCAGTCTCATTTTCGTTGACCACTCAGAATTTCCGAAAATTGCAAATCTACCAATAATGCGAGAAAGTATGTGCAGTTGAAGCTCTACTAGTTTCTTTTCTGCCGCCATTGTAATTGTATATGTGCGCAATCACTATGCCTGGCTTCCTTTTGAACCCAGTTCCATATTTTACCTGCTTGAAATACTTTGCACATAGATACGTATACCTTCAGCGTGTAATTGGCACATCATGCGCACAGATGAACATCGCTGTACCGTGCTCTTCATGACGCCTCTATTTTACTCTTAGATCAATGGATTTGTCTAAAAATAACCTTTGTTTGATCGGAAAGTTGCGTACTTTATACCCTGTACATATCCCGTGATAACAGGAGTGTTCGACAACGGTGCGCCATCTCATCCACAGCCAGTTGAAGAGCGAATTTTCTTATTGAGGTTTTACACCGTCCCTTGTCCATTGGGTAAAAGTAAAACTTATCGTTTTTGAAAACGGGTATGAACCAAGCACAGTTTCTGTAATTTTAATGTAATGGACAAATTGAGGTTGAATTTTTTTCATTTTGAGCAACAACTCGAAAATTTATTAGATGCCAACTTAAAAAAAACATACAAGATTCTTTCACAGAAATTCATCCGATCAAAAAATGTGTTTTTCCCAACGAAAGTGTGTGCCGTTGATAAGATTTACGTGTGGCTTGTAAAACATAAGCCAACTTTGCTTACAATGCCATTGAATCTTCCAGGACGAGAATGGGTGAAATTATTTTTAAATCATCCACAGTTACCGATACAAAATTGTATAATAAAAATTGTATTTCAGCTATTGATGTTATCTTCGTCTTTGTAGTATATTTACATTTATGGTTGTACAAGAAAACCTAGAAACACATGGACCCAGTGCAAATCTCAGTGGTTTTGAGTACGAGAATATCGCGTGGATTTGAGTAGCCCCCACAGCAATGAAACGTGAACCCACAATTGAATTTTGAATTTTTTTCAAAAATATATTTGTGTTTTATATTAAATATAACTTATCGAACTATTCTCGAGCACTTCACAATAAATATGTAGATCTATAGAAAGAATTTTAAACATTTTTTAGTTCTTCAGGTATTAGTAAAGGAAAAACTACGAAAGTATGGAAACATACATCATAATAAGACTTCTATAAACTACGTTTTTTTAATTCCGAAATCTGGCAGTTTTAATTTATTGAGGAGAAATTATATTAAGTTTACTTAGTAAATAGTTACAGGAACAAAGAAAAATTCTGAGTTAAATTTCTCAGTGAAACCTTCCTATGGATGTTGTTACCCCTGGTATTACATCCGTGGGAGTTCGCGTCTGAGAACCGTTGATTGTAGCTCATACTTAACAAAAATGACCCATTGTCAGCAAAAACTGGAGAGAACCCTGGATTTAGATAGTAGTAAAATTCCGCAATAACAGCACAAACAAGATATGCTGACTACGTGAGGCACACAATATGCTGACTATATGAGGCACAATAAAAATTCTCGTTTTGCTGTATGCTTTTGTGACAAAAAATGTGACCGCTTCGGTCAACATTGAATAATTAATTTATCTATTTCAAACTGCTTAGTAAATTAATTTTACTATAATTCTTTATCCTTCTTGGGAAAATATGGTTGTTACTACAATATTTGTAATTACGTCACAATTGAAATGATTACTGGAAACTAGTATTAATTAACATTTCTACTTCATTGATAAAACCTACCCACACACACACACTCACACACACTCACACACTCACAAACTCACACACTCACACCCTCATACATTCACACATTAACACACTCACAGACCAACACACCGGAAAAGAGGGTCAGTGCATCAACTGATGTCACTGCAGTCCTCTGACTGGAAGGTCCCAGGTTCGAGACCCAACAGTGCCAATTTTTTTTGACACCAGCGTGTCAGCTAGATCGAATTCAGTCGCTGTCTGGAGGAGAATTTAGAGACCGGCTGCTTGGATCGGTAGTTTTCCGTGGTTTCTCCGATAAACACCAGGGGAATGCTGCAGCAGTACTAAGAAAACGGACCACGGACCGCGCACGATCTTTCCTTCCTCTTCCTTGTCTTATTGTCACACTACCACACATACCGGGTGACCTGTCGGGAGCTTGTCCCGGCTGGGGCAGTGCCCCGCTGGTAGGAGATACCAGGTTGGGTGATCCCCACTAACCGACGGTAAGTCGGCGCCGGATCTCGCCATCCAGCGGGGGATGACCACCACCTCCCAAGAAAAACATGAACTACACCTACGGGACTAATGACTTCGGTAGTTGATGCGCCCGGAACCACTAACAACCAACCAACCAACACGCACCCCCCCTCAACATACATATAAAACATACTAAAACTTCTTCCCGCTTATAATAAACGATCCATTACTCCATTCAGCGGGTCTTAGGTAGCTCAGAGCATCATTTGATGCAATTGCAGTGTCTCTGATCTGGAGGTCCTTGGCTTATGGTACTGAGGGTGGTAGGACTTTCGATATGTTACATAGCTAGGTCGAATTCAGCTCCTGCCGGAGGAGAATTCTACCAGCTAGCTTCACTAACGATAGTTTTCCAGTCTTCCTCCGATCAACACCAGGCGAATGCCGGAGCAGTGCCGTGACAAACGGGCTGCGGATGGCGCGCGATCCTTCCTTCCCCTTCCTTGTGCAAATATCACCCCTTGCACACACTTTCACTTTCATGTATACATTACCTAACATGTGAGGAAACCAGTCGTGAACGTAGAGCTTGTCCCGGTTGGAGCGGTGCCCCGACGACACCTAGTTGGGAAAAAACCGCAAGCCGACGGGTAAGTCGGCGCCGCATCTCGCCATCCAGCGGGTAAGATCATCGCCACCTCCCGCAATAGAAACATGCATTGCACGTACGGGACGTAAGCCTTTTGCAGTTTACGCGCCCTGAATCACTAATGCATTCAAAGAAATACTCGTAACTTGTAGCGGTTAACTTGAATTAGAAGTAAATCTTTTTTTAAAAAAGCATTTCCTGAATTTGAGTACTTGTTTCACACAGAAGTAATGTCAAACATACCAATTAAACGCAGCGCACGTAAATATTAATGAGCTTATGAACGTATTTATTTAAATTGGGCCTGCTCCAACAATTAGCCTTAGTGCTATAACACCTTGTTATAATAGCAAAATTTATATAATGTCAATAGTAAGCTGTACACTAGAGATCCATAGTAAGGCTACCAAACATAAAAGCGCAGCAAAAAAAGGAAAATAATTTGCCCGTTGAAAAGTTTCTGCTGCATTGTGCATCTGTTTCAACTGCAGAGACGTTTAGTGAAAGTGGGAACGAATTATCACAATGTAAAGCATAATAATATTCTATCCAAATTAAATATGATCGTAATATCAAAAGTTTGTGCATTTAGTGCACATGCTGTTTGTTATTCACATTATGTGTTATGAACGTACTTTTTGTGGTCGAAATCAGCGATCATGCCGGCGGTATCAGTGATGGGATTATTATATATTTTTTTAAAATTTTTTGAAGGATTTGTTTGATTTGATTCGTGAAATTAGTAATTGTAGTTACAATAAAAAGTAGTATACAGCTAAAATGTCGATTATCTCTGGTAAACCATCAAACGCCCTGAAGTACAGCGCACACTTTGCAGTACAGCCTCTATTATTCTAAGACTGATCTATTTCATAATGTTCTTGAGAAAAAGTTGTGTACACAATGTAAAACCAAAGTGTAAGCAAAAGTTGTGTAAGCAAAATAGCATTTTTGTGAGCACGTCAACAATCAATTAAGATTACTTGGTGTCTAGGCACATGTTACTATGTTCATGCAATGATTATCAAATGGGAAAGTATTATTTAAAGTTCACATTTTTTCGAAGTTCTACATTGTAGTTATTGGTTGCGATAGAAAGTTCATATTTGTTCAAAGTTCTACATTGCAGTTATCGGATGCGAGAGAAAAGTGCGCGAGTATGGTTAAGTGACGATCAGAAATATATTTCTAATGTGCGAAATAGAACATGGAAAGTTCATATTCTCAAACATGGAAAACAGGGGTGAAAACTCTAATTCCAAAAAGCCAGATGGATGTTCTCCCTGAATACAGAATTATTTTAGTTAAAGTAAAATTCACACAAGCATGTTCCTCGTAGTATCTCCCCTGTCCTGTTCTTAGCTCGGCAGCCCGATACAGGCCTAGGCCGCCCAGCGATGGCCCACCCTCTAGGCCATGTGATAATGGGTTCATGTGGTTAGCACGAAGACATCCCTCCATCGTATACACTGGTCTTCATAACCTTAGGGTGGGCTTTCTCATCATCAGCAATACTGGGACACTCATAATATCTACGTAAAAATATGAGTATCTGTCGTTTGAAAAGAACTGCGTTTTTATAATCGCCTATGCTTATTTAAATGATTTAAAAAACAATTCAATTGTTTTTTCGATTAATTTCTGACTCTCTCGTTTGTCTGGTGGAAACTGTGGAATGTCTGATCCAATTTAGATGCGGTTTTCCCTGAATGATAGTGTTTTGTGAAATATAACATAAGCTACTTTTGTCAAATTATTTTCTTTTATGTAAAAAAATAAGATTTGTTTTTTTTTCAGACAAATATACAATTGTATGCTAAACTTAATAAAACACGTTACCTTTAACACACGTTAAACACACGTTTAACACACGTTAACCTTTAGTACACGTTACCTTTAAGACAAATGTCTACATTAGAGTTTGCAACACTGACTCGTATCTCCCATGGGGCTCTTTCCTTCCCCTTAGGGCACCTTTCGTTCCCTTAGAGCAGGCTTTCTGTTTTCAGCAAATATTTTGGAAACTGAACCAATTCATGAAAAGTAATTAAACGTTTCTGAAAGCTCGGAAAATTCCCTGTTAAATGCAAATTGATTAATTTCAAAACCGCAAATACGTTTAGAGTAATTGTACTTTAATTAATTGGTAATATTGCCGTCGTCAGAAGCGTAGATTACCGTAGAAAGTGCTTCTTAAGTTTCGTGGCATGCTCTGTGCATTAAATTTCGTTGCACACTCCGCCATCCGAGCGTGTGCGTTTCCAAGACTAAAGGCGCGGATGTGGACTGGGGAGGTCATTTGCGGACCCGCAAAGCAATTTGCAGTTGGTTTCCGCACTGCTCCGCACTATTGTTCTGTCCTTCGGCCGGCAGCCCTTACGGGCCTTGGCCGACTGGCGACGGCCCAGCCTCTCGGACATCTGATAAGGGTCTGCACATCTGGACCTCGGACATCTGATATGGTTAGCACGAACATATCCATCCACCGTTATTTCTGGCCTTCATAAACTTAGAGTGGGTTTTCTCATCGTCACACAGCACTGGGACATTTCTAAGGAAAGCGCACAGTTAATACTTTGCCCCGGCCGGGAATCGAACCCAGATACACGCCGTGGAAAGCGAGCACGCTAACCAACGAGCCGCCGAAGGCCGCACTGCGATCCGATTCATTAAAATAATTGCTTGGAAGCGATACTTTATCATTCACTCGTGAACAATATTCTCCCTTCGGAGCCACAGAGACTGCAGCTGCATAAAATCTGTCTCCAGAGCCGTACGAGTGAGACAAACAGAAAAATGAAAACGTGTGTAATCCGAAATAAATTTTGTACCATAAAGCATACTGATAAAAGATAAGATTGTTCATATCGAAGCAATTTACTTATGAGTCAATGGAACATGGAAATTCATCTGATAATTTAAAAGTGTTATTATTTTCTTGAAAATTACAAAAGACGCTAATTATTCTACATAATTATTGAAGAGTGCATATTTTGACGTGATTCAGTTAAATTATTTTGGGGGTGTTAAATTAATTTACATTCATTAAAATTGAATAATTATGCAAAATCCAATTTTTTAAAAATTTCTAATTAAATATAAAATTATTTTTAATAAAGTTTCATCATATTTCGTATGGAATTCATGGAAATAAATAATTATTAACGAAAAATGCTTTTTCGCATTTTTAGAACAATAATAGTTGAAGTGTTTGCTGATGTATTCTAAATTTTATATGGATTCCGGATTTCTTGTTTCACGTGTCACGTTCTTCAATTTTCAATGCAATGAAAGAGCGCACCTTTAGAGACAAAATCCTTTTTAGCTCTAACGTGTCGAAGAGATTAAAGAGAATTCTGCAAAATAAAAGTTGATTTTCTCTTCTTTCTAGTTTTCTACACATGTATATCTGAAATGCGCTACCCAAATCTCTGCCCGTAGATTTGGATTTATTGGAAATGGCCAATATTATTGGATTTCGGTAATGAAGGTAAATGCAGTTGTTCTTAAAAATCACTTCTAACAAGCAATTGCCCCCACAACTTAGCATAAATGGGATTAACAGGTTACGTTCTATAGATTTTAACCATTAGTAACGCAAGTAGTTTTTTTATTAAATTGTATCTTTAATGTGACCCAGTAGATGTACTACCTTTTAGTTGTGAAATCATGCTCTTTATCAATACTTAACACTACCACGCCAGACACCTCGAAGTATTCTGTACGAATTCTGTTGAAGCTTAACCTCTTCAGTCCGTCTGCACTCTCTTCCGGGGTAGCGCGCGGTTGTACAAAGCGCAACCTATGCACGGTATAGTTGTGACGCGGGATCTAATGGCGAGGGGACAGTAATTCTCACGACCGGTTGGCGAGGTCGGGATCGATCACAGGATGGGTGGCGTTCGATACAAAAGTCTAGTTGTATGCATCTGTTTCGTTATTTCACAAATTTGGAATTTTGACCTTTGTGTGACAAAAATTTTTCTTATGTAGGGCTTTGAAATTTGCACAGCGCTTCGATTCACTATAAGCACAGTTGTCGAATACCTGTTGTTCAATAACGTAGCATTTCTCAGCTAAATAATATAAGGATCATTGATTCATCTAATTGACGAGAAGACGGTTGTGTTTTTTGTTGTGTTTATTTTACCCGAAATGACTCACCTTATTTTACACCTTATTTATTATGACAAAGACAGGCTTTTTATGGAATTTATGAAGTCAGTTGAGAGTGGTTTGCTTTCAGATGTTAGGAAAAGTTACATAATGTTAAATCTATGTTTGGTGTGTTTGATAATGATGTTTGATAAAGTGTTTGGTAAATATTTGGAATGCACTTGTGGATCACTAGCTCAAAATCGTAATGCATGACGTGTTCTACTTGTACAGAAAGAATATTTTCGTAATCGCTTATTTGCATCTTCTGCATTTGTTTTCTGTTCATGACCATTTCTTCTAACCATAATTTCAGTGTAAGATCAATCGTATTAAAATTTGGAATCAATATGTTTTTGCATTTGAATGTTGGTTTTGATTTCCCACTTCTTACTCAATCATGGATAGATTCCCTTTCTACAACTATTTGTACTACTCAAAAACACTTTATTTCCCCATGACTTGTCCCCTCCGGTGCAAATATTTATTCACATCTTGTTTAATCGTTTTTCCGAGACATACGACAAAATTGCATTGCATGTTTCTCTGCCCAGTAAACTCTGTTATCTGGGTTAACTGATCTGATTTGCACAAGTTGGAATAGACTGAGTGAGAGTGTGATTGTAGCTCACCAGTTTAGTGTTATGGCACGAGGAATTGCAGATTAAAATTGTCGCACATCGTAGAAGAGGGCATCTAAAGCAGTAGTATTTATCTCCATTGAAATTTACGTTAGTGCTGTAACTCTGTGCTCTCTTACAAATCAATGTTTCAATAAAGAATATCACGCTATGATGTAGTATATCATTACGCTATACGAAGAACGCAGATACTCAGAATTCAAAAACGAACCATATTTTCAGGTTTAACATTCACACGTGTATACTTATTTCTCTTCTTCTTACATACAAGTAAAGAATTCGTACTATTTGCTTATTTTGATCAACAAATATTTTATTATTCACACGCGATACTACATATTTCTCTTATTCTTACATAAAACGAAACAATACGTACTATTTGTGTATTTTGACCAACTTTTGAATCAGCAAAACTTTGGTGAAAATTTATTCATTTCAAAAGCATTCGAAAATTTTATAACAACACAATAATCAAATATATCGAATATACTATTTACTTTCATGGCCTATTTTGAAAGAAGTTTAAATCAAAATATATTGGTTTTATATTTAATAACTATTGGAATAAATATAAAACTTGTGTTTTGTATGTAATGATTTTAATTTTTGTTCCTTTATTTTCTTAAAAATAATTTATTAATTATTTTTTGTCAATTAAGTCCGTTTATATTTTTACCATCGACAAGTGCTGTATTTACTCTTAGGATTTTCAATTATAAACCTCATTATTTCTTATCAATTTTGAAAATTTTAAATGACAAATATACATACCCGAATGTATATACTGAGATACATATTTTTAATTAATAAAAATAATGAAATTAAAAAGTATTAGACAATTTTAATGACCATGAATGACAATTTTAGTTCAAATAGAAAGAAATATTTTTGATAAATATTGACTGACTAGCAGAGTATGGTTCCCTATCAGTTGCGTACTGAAGATGATACAATGAAGAAAATATTTATATATTCATGACATGTAGAATTATTTCTATGTGGATTTGGTAATATTTTAGATAAGAATATAGTTGAAAATTATGTATTGTTGAGGTATTTCAATTCATACGGGTTCTTCGTCTCCCACTGGGAATCTTCGTATTCACCTCGTGTTATGAGGGAAAGGACATTTTGTAGGGAACTTTGGTTTTGCTAGGAACCCCAAAGCAACACTGTGGATGGCGAAGGAAATAGGGAACACCGGCACTACGGTGACCTCCTTGCCTTTGCGTCTTGGCCCCGGTGCCAACAACGCCAATATCTAGCTGCCACCCTCGCTTCCCTCGACGCCTCCGCCGCCGATCTCGCTGGCGATCCTCCCAAGGAAGCAGCATAGATTCCAATTCATTGTTTGGCTGCTGGCGCGGAGGCCTCCGCTCTCCGCTCCGTGCCGCCGCACCATTCCCCGGCCTGCCCCCGGCCGCCAGAAAGGTCTCCGATCAATACCCGCTCCAGGTAGTAGATAGATGCTCTGTTTTGAAAGGAGTGACCTCGAAACAGCGGCTGAGTAACCGAACACAGATTCTCGTTTGTCTTACCTGCTGCGATTGCTCAGGGCAACATCCTAGCCTCTGCATTATCGTTAAGCGAATGGATCTATAATTCGAGTTCTGACGGTGACATATTTTCGACTAGCTACGTAGCTAGGTCGGATTAAAGCACTGTCTGGAGGAGAATCTTGGCTCCCGGTTTCTTCGATTGGTGGTTTTCCGTGGTTTCTTCGAGAGAGAGAGAGAGAGAGAGAGAGAGAGAGAGAGAGAGATCATTTTTTTCCTTATGGCCCTGACACACGTACACTTTATATGCACTACACTACCACACTGGAGACTCGTCAGGAGCCTACAGCTGGAGCGCGACTGGAGGCGACCTCCCTCTGGAGGACATGCCTGGGTAGGGAAAAGTAGCATGCTGACTGTAGGTCGGTGCCGGACCTCATATTCTAGCTGTGGAGGAATAATCCCACTTACCGGGATACAACGTGCACTGGATTTACGAGACTAATGATCGACTAACTTGACGCGCCCGGAATCAATATTCACTCACTCATTCGTTCACCAAATCGCTGTCTTCGTGTGACAGCGTTTCTAATTGAAGACTAACGCGCAGGTCTTGTTGAACGGGATACCCGTCGCAAGCGTTGGCGTTTGGACTGTCCCATTCAAGTTGTGCGCACTTCCCCCGCCCGGGCAATCAATAGGGGCTGTTCCTCGCCCCGCGCCGCTCGCACCGCTCTGCCCGCCCGCAGGCCAACAGAGCTAGGCAGACTGGAACGAAATTGTATTTTAGATTACGGTGTCCTGTAAGGTAGTGTGGAAATCTTGGGGCTTCAAACATACAGAATGTTTAATTTTGCGTTTATCTATTATTTTCGAATGTTGTTTCTCTTCACTGATCTCCAGTATTTATGGTCATAATGATATTGCGTTCATTTTCCCAAATTAAGTGTTGAACAAAACTAAATTTCTCACAATCGCTAACAATTTTTGATGTCTAATTTAATAGGACACTTGCATTCAATGTAAAATCCATAATTCAATTTTGACGTTTTTAATAGTACACTAGGAGTGCTGTGTGTTACTAAGCATGTTGGTAATTTGTGTTGTTGTTTGTGATTTATATCGTAAACAAGTGTGCAAATAGTGTCATATTTTCATTTTCGGTGCAACAACAGTATATCGTTACATGAATGATATTGCTGACACATTTGATCGGTTTTGTGTAACACAGTTACGACTAACAATAAGTACAAAAAGTAAGCTAAGCACTGGCATGGGCATCAGAAAAAAACGCTTCAGCGAACGATCTATAACCCTATGTTTAGTTCCCATTGCACTCAGAGGAACGTGTAATGTATTGATGTAATTATCAACATTATATTGCATCTGGAATTGTTTTGTCACTTTTTTCATAATTCCAAAATTACTTAGTTTTGAACAAATAAAAGGCTCGCTGATGTGTTTTTCAACACTGATTCCCGTAGTATAACTCCGTGTTTATGTCGCTCGCATGGGAAAACCTTGAAAGACAGGTAATCGTTTGGATTGTTGTGTAGAGTAGGCTTGGTACAGTGTATTTCTGAGACGGTTACAGAGAATTGGTTTGTACTCTCTTAAACAACAAAATGTGTCATTGGAGTTCTAAATTACGCTGTATGGTTTTATTTTTAACAAAACATTGATAACATATTCCATAATATAATTTCATTTTTATTGTTTCAATGCTACATGAATATAATATCTATCGATTTCTGACATGGAGTATTCAGGATGGGCTTTTTTACATAAACATTGCATGAGAATATTCTTTATGGAACGAAAAAATAAAAATAAAATAAAGATAAACAGCAACAAAAGAAAACATGTTATTGTAACCTTTGAAATTAAGTGAAAGGGGAGAGAACGAGAAAATGAGGGGACGTACGTGTGGTGTACAGCGCTTCTCCTTGCGATTCATTTTTGTAAATGTCTTCCCTGTAACACGGCATTCTGTCGTTCGTCGCGCAAGATGCACGTGTTCGCTGCTCACTTCTCAAAATGCAAATTTTCTTTGTTATCATGGCTTGTTGGTGCATGAACACAATCCGCTTTGTAAACTTGGACGAGTACAACCCCAACACTTTCGTAACCGTCTTGTAAACACACTGTGTAAAAAAATGAGTAAGATTTGGAACGCATGCTAGGGAGTAGAATTTCCAAGCGTGTTGGATGTGATGGGGTAGGGGGAACATAGCGCAGGGTAGTCTTCCCTGTCCCGCTTGTAGCGCTTGCGCCTTGCGGTGGGGCCGCTGCTGCTGCTGGACGGGCGAGTGAAGCGCCAGCAGCGTCAACGGCCTCCAGCAAGTCGAGCCCTTGTGGGCGACTGCCCCTGCCCGCGCCCCGTCGCGCCACGGAGAGGAGGAGGAG